GAAGCCCCACTCATATCATTTGTAACATGGTCTGTCTGCATATCTTGAATTTTGGAAGATGTGCAGAGTCTGGCGACATCTGGTGTGAGACTGGTGGTGTCCTCTCCTGTCTCATACTGTTGTCCTGTGGCTGTGTTGTGGAGAGAGGTACATTGTCTGGTGTGTGACTGGTGGTGTCCTCTCCTGTCTCATACTGTCGTCCTGTGGCTGTGTTGTGGACAGAGAAGCATTGTCTGACACTAGCAAGTGTGTGACTGATGCTGTCCTCTCTAGGTCCATTACGTCTGCTGTCTTGATGGTAGAAGCAAGTGGTGAAGCCTCGATAGCAGTTTTCTTCGGTGCTTGCTGCACATCGGTCCACCGTCCCTCCTCGTCTGAAAGCTGCATCCATTTCCTCTTTCTCTTAGCCTTCCCCTTGACTCTCTCCGCGTAGTGAGAACCGAATCACTGCCCTACCTAATGCCTGAGACACTCCTAGGCCTGGAGAAAATCATTCCCCTCCAACGGAGGTCGTAGAATAATTCCCCCAGGTAGAATCAGGGATACCTAACACCTAAATGAGCTGTTTGGTCTACCTTTCCCTGTCAGGCTCAGTACACCTTCTAAGGTGCCCCCTTGTGGCGCTGCCCGCAGGGTATCGCCTCGCCCTTCAGGGTAGGACTCTAAGTGACCTGGTCAGTGATACGGTCCTCAAAAAAAAAAAAATTGTGGTACGAGAATTTGGGTCGCTTGCGTACTGAGTTGCCAGAATACCAGTCAGCTGGGCAGCAGGTAATCAACAACGTTGTTTCTCCGTCAATTGTAGACGAAATCGGAATTGTTTCCTTCAAAACAAGATATTGTCTGGGTCTTGGAGTACTGATGTATTCTTCCTCACAAAACCGCGATGAATGGAGCTGATGGGTGCTCAGAATCGTGAGTTTTTCCGGGAACAAATCCGTGTGCGGCCAGCTAGCAATGGCGCCGGCAGCGAGATGATACTGTTTTTTTTTTTTTTGTGATATATACAAGAGTTGTTACATTCTTGTACAGCCACTAGTACGCGTAGCGTTTCGGGCAGGTCCCTGGAATACGATCCCCTGCCGCGAAGAATCGTTTTTTTCATCCAAGTACACATTTTACTGTTGCGTTAAACAGAGGCTACAGTTAAGGAATTGCGCCCAGTAAATCCTTCCCGGCCAGGATACGAACCCATGACATAGCGCTGGCGGAACGCCAGGCGAGTGTCTTACCACTACACCACGGAGACTAAAGAGACTGTTGACCGGCAGTTTGTTTTTCTGGCAGAAGTTGATGGGGTAGGGATTGTTTGATGTATAGAATGCAAGAGTTACTGGATCTGAGGTTGTAAGAAACAAATGAATAAATAAATTCGTTTGTTTAATTCCAATGCTTGTAGGCGAGAACAGTTGTGAACGCCAGCTAGCGCACAAGTTCATGAGCGCCCAAAATACTTTTTTTTTTTTTTTGAGATATATACGAGAGTTGTTACATTCTTGTACAACCACTAGTACGCGTAGCGTTTCGGGCAAGTCCTTAATCCTATGGTCCCTGGAATACGATCCCCTGCCGCGAAGAATCGTTTTTTCATCCAAGTACACATTTTACTGTTGCGTTAAACAGAGGCTACAGTTAAGGAATTGCGCCCAGTAAATCCTCCCCGGCCAGGATACGAACCCATGACATAGCGCTCGCGGAACGCCAGGCGAGTGTCTTACCACTACACCACGGAGACTGCACAAAAGTTTGGAGCACGGAGTGCACGGTGGAGCAAAAGTGCACGGAGACTGCACTTTTATTTTATTTATTTATTTTTTATTTATTTATGCATATACAAGAATGTACATAAGGAATGTGAGGATACAAATATGGTAATTACAGTCTTGTAAAGCCACTAGCACGCGCAGCGTTTCGGGCAGGTCCTTAATCTAAGAAAATTTTAAGGAGGTAAATACTTGCAAAATTTATAGACAAAAAAATTATAACAGATTACATGAAATGAAAAAAAAAAGATGAGAGAAAATTGTAGGTACAGTATATTAAAGCACATAGGTAGCTAAGATTGATTGCAATGACAGCTTAAAATGGTAGTTGACAACAAATTGGTAGGCACAATACAGCAGAAACAATATAAGATTGATTGCAATGACAGCTTGAATGCGTGGTAGTTGACAAAAATTGGTAGTCACAATACAGCATATGGCTAGCACATAAAAGAAGACAGCAATGAACACAATGATAAGGTTGTTTGATATTACATAAAAATTAGGAGATTGGGTAACACTAGGTACAGAGCAAATTTAAAGCTCAGTGTAGGAAACTAAGAAGATAAAGTTAGGTACTTTTTGGTTTTGCTTTTAAATAAGGCAAAAGTTTTACAGTTTTTCAATTCACTAGGGAGTGAGTTCCATAGACTAGGTCCCTTAATTTGCATAGAGTGTTTACACAGATTAAGTTTGACCCTGGGGATATCAAAGAGATATTTATTTCTGGTGTGGTGATAATGGGTCCTATTACATCTGTCCAGGGAGAGTTTCAGAGCATGGTTTGCATTTAAGAACAGGGTTTTGTAAATGTAGTTGACACAAGAGAATGTGTGGAGGGAGTTAATATTTAGCAAGTTTAGGGATTTAAACAAGGGAGCTGAGTGTTGTCTGAAAGCAGAGTTAGTTATTATTCTGATAGCAAATTTTTGCTGTGTGATGATGGGCTTAAGGTGGTTTGCAGTGGTAGACCCCCATGCACAGATACCATAATTCAGATAGGGGTAGATTAGTGCATAATATAGTGAGAGGAGAGCAGAGTTAGGAACATAATATCTGATTTTGGAGAGTATACCAACTGTCTTAGAGACTTTCTTAGTTATGTGTTGAATGTGGGTGCTGAAGTTGAGTCTCTTGTCTAGGAATAGGCCAAGAAACTTGCCATCATTTTTATTACTGATGTTAATGTTGTCTATCTGTAGCTGAATTGCATTTGATGATTTGCTTCCAATTAAGATGTAGTAAGTCTTTTCGATGTTTAATGTTAGTTTGTTCGTTGACATCCATAAGTGGACTTTTTTTAATTCATTATTCACAACATTATTTAGTGTATGTGGGTTGAGGTTTGAGTAGATAAGGGTAGTATCGTCAGCAAACAATATAGGTTTGAGAATATTAGAGACATTAGGCAGATCGTTTATATATATAAGAAATAGAAGAGGTCCTAAGATGCTGCCCTGTGGCACTCCAACGGTAATTGGTAGAGTGGAAGACTTTTACACAAAAGACATGTACAGACAGGCGTGTGGCTTCTGACTTCGTTTTTATTGATTAATATTACATATTAGGCGCTTACCTATAATAGTTATTATTATATACAAGTATATCTATCACATAATAAATGTAAAAGGAGTTTATCCAAAAACTGACAAAAGTGTTGTGTTTTGTGCGTTATATCGTGTTTGTGGGCATTCGGGTAAGTTGTGTTTACGCTGGTGGGCGGCGTCCTTACAAGCCCGGATTATGTCCATCACATCACTAAACTTCATTTAATAACTATATGCCTGTTAAGTAATAGATTTTAGTTGTTAATATCATTATATTGTCGTTTTAGTATTAAACACGTACACATGTGCGAAACGTCCAAAACTGGTGTTTGAACTGGTAAAATATTGGTGTGCGGTGTTGTCAGTGTACAGAATGTCTTACATCCCCACGGGATGGATATGGGTTGCATAATAAAAAAAGAAATTGAATCACCTTGCCCGAAACACTATGCGTACTAGTGGCTTTAGGTATTGTATGTACTAGCTCTATCTATAAATCCAACATTATGTTTGTAACTAATCCTCTATGTATGTACTTTTACCTGAATAAGCATTTTATTTGATTTGATAAACTAAACTACCATTATTAATAATTGTATAGTATTTAAGTCTAGCTTCAAACACGAGCATGTTACACACTGAACAAGAATGAATGAACTCTTGTATATATAAATAAAAATAAATACAAAAACTTGTGTGTGTCGTAGTCACTTTATTGTCTTGGGAGACGAGAACAGGTGATCTCAAGTCAGCGCATTTGCCTATACGAAAGGATTGCTGTATACAAACTAATGTGTGCACGAACTGTTTTTTTGGGTACTGAACCGACGCTATCCGAAACGATTATGTACGATTTGACCAGTCCCTATCCCTTTGGACATCAAGCGGAAACCGATTCCGAGCTCGCGTCCGACGCCATCACATCATCAGTCATCACCGACACGGTCTCAACGCAAAGCATAAGACGACGCCAAGGCAATATTATCCTACCCAGTGGCATTGTTGTGTACCCAGGAGACTCCCCCATGTCACAGGACAACTCCTAGAGTCATCAGGAAATAACTTCATGATAACCAGTGGCAGTGTTGTGTCTCCAGGAGATGCCTTATTACAAGACGACAATTGCAATCATCTTGCGATAACTTTTACACACCAAGCATAAGACTATACCCCAGGCTTAATTACCTTACCCATCACCAGTGTTGTGTCTCCAGATGCCAGGAGCAAAAATCTTGCAAAAATTTTAGTTATCTTGCATCTTCCAGATAAGATGACAACTGCAGTCATTTAGAGAAGATAACCTTCACACATCAATCATAAGGTAACACTGACTTCATTATACTAGTTACCCACTGGCATTGTTATCTGCAGTTGATGCCCCACCTCACAAGATAGCTCCTGCAGTCATCAGGAAGAGGTAACCTTCACATAATAAGCATAAGACCACACCCAAGCTTAATTATCATATCTAGCAGTAGTCATCAGGACATATCCTATATCACAAGACAATAACTATGGACATAAGGAAGAGATAACCTTTAAACATCAAGCATAAGTCAACACCTTGGCATAATTATCCTACCCAGCAGCATTGTTACGTCTCCAGAAGACATTCCATGTTATAAGACAGTACCTGCAGTCATCAAAAGAAGTTAACTTTAATCCCGACTCTGTACGGATCATAAGGGAAATGGAACATCACCAGTGTCCAGAGTGTGGTAAAACATTTAGCAATATTGGAAGCATGAAGCGGCACATGACAGCGCATAATGGGGGAAAGTCTCATGAGTGTCCAGAGTGTGGAAAAACATTCAGACAACTTCAACATATGAAAACTCACAGGATAGTGCATACAGGGGAAAAACCTCACAAGTGTCCAGAGTGTGGGAAAACATTCAGCCATCTTGCAAGTAAAAAGAGGCACATGGCTGTGCATACGGGTGATAAACCTCACGAGTGCCCAGAGTGTGGGAAAACATTCAGACAGCTTGAACATATGAAGAATCACAGGATGGGGCATACGGATCTTAGACCTCATGAGTGTCCAGTGTGTGGGAAAGCATTTAGTTATCTTGCAAGTATGAAAAGGCACATAATGGTGCATACTGATGATAAACCTCATGAGTGTCCAGAGTGTGGGAAAACATTCAGACAGCTTGAACATATGAAGAATCACAGGATGATTCATACGGATCTCAAACCTCACCAGTGTCCAGAGTGTCAGAAAACATTTAGTCGCCTTGGGAATATGAAGAGGCACATGATAGTGCATATGGGTGGTAAATCTCATGAATGTTCAGAGTGTGGGAAAACATTCAATCAACTTGGAAGTATGAAGAGGCACATGATGGTGCATATGGATAATAAATCTCACGAGTGTCCAAAAGGGTGGGAAAATATTCAACCATCTTGGATTTATGAAAATACTCAGGACAGTGCATATGGGTGCTAAACCTTTCGAGTGTGAGACAAGAGGCAGATTATGTATTGCTATAATATGCCTTATAAAAGGTGATAATCAACATGAATGTTAGGAGTGTGGACAAAGTTTTAAGTGGCACTTGACTATTAGACATCACATATTATCTATGAATATTAATGTCACTAGTGTTACAAATGTAGGAAATAATTAGTTATCTTCGATATATATATATATATATATATATATATATATATATATATATATATATATATATATATATATATATATATATATATATATATAAAATAAGTACATAAGAGAGGCAAAGCTCATGAGCTTCTTAAGTGTGTTAAAATGTATAGTTAATGTTTTGTAAGCAGAGTAAGAAGGCACATAATAGTGACTCCAGGTGATAACCCTATCAAGTTCTCTGACTGAATGAAAATTCTTAAATTAATATAAAAGGCACAAGCTAGTGTGAATGTATTAAAACTGAACAAAAGTTATTTGTTTTATGGCAGTAATTGTACAGTATTGTATGAGATAATATTAAAATAAACTTCCAGTGCATTCTACTAAAGCAGTGCACAGTTGGGAAATTGTGAGCTTCCTCATGAGCAATCTGTTCATTCATCTGATCAGCTAGACTTCCTACAAAGATACTATTCTTGTCTTTGTTTTGAATGAAAAAGTGCTTGATCATGAATAAATAATTGAGTAGGATTTTGTTGCTGATCTCCAGATACTGTACTAAAGGTAGATATTGATGGTATAATAGCATGTAAGTCTTTCATTGTTATTATAATAGCTTATATTTCATAATTACATATCTTCTTGAATGAGGCATTGATCTTAGCCTGGCCTATATGTAATTTAATAGACCATATTTGGGGAGTATTAGATTCATAATGGTTTGCCAAACCTAAATCAGTGCCAGGTCGATTTTGATTTAGATCATTTATTATGCATCTGATATCCATCCTGTGGGTGGTAGTGAAAAAGGTTAGAGAGGCACATAATTGTCTCGGGAACAGAAACCCAAAAATCATTGAACTCAGCAAGTTACATTCTTGATAAGCTAGTTACATAGTGTAATGCATGCATTTTATATATATATATATATATATATATATATATATATATATATATATATATATATATATATATATATATATATATATATATATATATATATATATATATATATATATATATATATATATATTGTCGTACCTAGTAGCCAGAATGCAGAACTCGGCCTATAAGCCAAGTTTTTCTGAATTTATATATTTTTCATTTTTTTTTTTTCTTATGAAATGATAAAGCCATCCATTTCATTCTGTATGAGTAAAGTTCTTCTAATTGGAGTTAAACTAATATAGATATATGACTGAATCTAACCAACCCTTCCTAACCCTAACCTATGTTAACCTAAACTAACATAATTAAGTAAATAATTAATGTTCCTAATATAATAGAATAATAATATTTCAAATAAACCAATTGGAAACTATTTTGAAAATAAAAAAAATCACTCGGCCTATTAGGCAAATCGGGCCTTGCATACTAGGCGGAGAAGTGTGTTCTGGTTACTAGGTACGATATATATATATATATATATATATATATATATATATATATATATATATATATATATATATATATATATAATGTCGTACCTAGTAGCCAGAACGCACTTCTCAGCCTACTATGCAAGGCCCGATTTGCCTAATAAGCCAAGTTTTCCTGAATTAATATATTTTCCCTAATTTTTTTCTTATGAAATAATAAAGCTACCCATTTCATTATGTATGAGGTCAATTTTTTTTATTGGAGTTAAAATTAACGTAGATATTTGACCGAACCTAACCAACCCTACCTATCCTAACCTAACCTATCTTTATAGGTTAGGTTAGATTAGCTAGCCGAAAAAGTTAGGTTAGGTTTGGTTAGGTTGTCGAAAAAACATTAATTCATGAAAACTAGGCTTATTAGGCAAATCAGGCCATGCATAGTAGGCTGAGAAGTACGTTCTGGCTACTAGGTACGACATATATATATATATATATATATATATATATATATATATATATATATATATATATATATATATATATATATATATATATATATATATGGAAGGCAGATATAGTATCAGCCAGGGCAGGTCACCTGACCACCAAGAACATAAGAATAAAGGCCTGTTGACCTATATACAAATAAAGAAAGGGTGATGAAGCCTGCGGATAAAAGCGGGATAAAAAAAAAAGGATTAAATGGATGCTATATGTACTGACGTGCTATATTGCAGCTTGTATGGGGATCTAATTTGTACATGCCAGGGCTTACATTAAGGTTGTTACATTGATCAGAGTGGACTTGATCACAATTTGTTCAACGAAGTCCTTGCTTTTAACGATACATTTCGCCCCTCTGAAGTCGATAGAATGATCACATAAACTGGAATGTAAATACAATGCACTGGAGTGCTGGGCTGTACGAATAGCATATGAATGTTGTTTTAAACGTGAAGAAAGATATTTACCTGTCTGGCTGATGTAAACATGTGCACACTCATTGCAAGGAATGGAGTACACACAACCTGCTAGAGACGAGGGCGAGTTCTTAATTAACATGGACTTAACTGTATTATTATTTTTGAACACGGTTAATATTAATGTTTTGCACGGCTGGGGCAAGATTTACTAGTCCATCAAAATATGGTAATACCATATGGTACTGGTAAATCCCTTTCTTAATTAACATGGGCTTAACTGTATTTTTATTTTTGAACACTGGGTTAATATTAAGGGTTTTCAGGGCTGGGGCAAGATTTACTAGTCCATCAAAATATGGTAATACCAACAAACTTTTTATTACCATATTTTGATGGACTAGTAAATCTTGCCCCAGCCCTAAAAGCCCTTAATATAACCCAGTGTTGAAATATAAAAATACAGTTAAGCCCATGTTAATTAAGAACTCGCCCTCATCTGTAGCAGGTTGTGTGTACTCCATTCCTTGCAATGAGTGTGCACTTGTTTACATCGATGGTAAATCTCTTTCTTCTCGTTTAAAACAACATTCATATGCTATTCGTACAGCCCAGCACTTCAGTGCATTATATTTACATTCCAGTTTATGTGATCATTCTATCGACTTCAGAGGGGTGAAATGTATTGTTAAAAGTAAGGGCTTCGTTGAATGAAGTGTGATTGAGTCTGCTCTGATCAAACAATGTAACAACAGCCTTAATGTAAGCCATGGCATGTACAAATTAGATTCCCATATAAGCTTCAATATAGCACATCAGTACAATATAGTATCCATTTAACCCCCCTTTTCTCGTTCCCCTTTATCCGTAGGTTTCATCTCCCCTTTCTTTATTTGTATGTAGGTCAATAGGCTTTTATTCTTTTGTTTTTGGTGGTCAGGTGACCTGCCATGGCAGTTACAAGATCTGCTTTCCACATGTGGTTTTCCGCATACTTGGATCAGTGTTTTTGTGTTTGTTGTTGCATACATACATACACACACACATATATATACTGATTATATATATATATATATATATATATATATATATATATATATATATATATATATATATATATATATATATATATATATATATATATACCCTTGGTTTACAAATTTAATCCTTTCCAAGAGATGGTTCGTACACCGAAAAATTATAAAAACGAAAAGAATTTTCCCAAAAGAAGTAATGTAAATTGAATTAATCTGTTCTACACTCCCAAAAATATTAATTTAAAAATACATTTTATACAGAATACTACTCATATATTTTACTATACCTTTATTGAGGACTCCTGTTGACATATGGAAGATGGTGAGGAGGGGGAGGGGGGGGGGGAGAGGTGTTAGTGTTTGAAAGGGGAGTCCCCTTCCATTATAACATCAGGCACTGATGACATTTCTGGAGTACTCTCTCCTACGTTTTGCAAGCATTCCACTAGGACCTGGTTTTGGCTCGCTGCCTGCTTGTCTTACTAAAAATCTGTTAGACACTTGTTTTACCCTGTGTTTTAACACCTGTCAATAGTGAGCTATCACATTGCATTAAAAAGGTTAATGCAACGGCCTGCTACAGCTTTATCTTTGTGAGTTTTTTCAGCAAAACTTTGCAGTTCTTCCCATACTACTAACATTTTCTGAATGATGAAGGGACATTATGTACTACCTCTACTCACAACTATTTTCTTGGGTTGAACTTTACCACTGAATTTATTGGGACCAATGGCATGATATTTAATAAGAACTTTAATGTTCAGAAACCAAAAAAGCAGAAAACAATGAAATTCTCCACAAAGAACTCAAGAGCAGTCATCACTAGGCGAGATGCACTGGTAAACTGAGCGTGCCTCGCTCCGCGCCCAGCAGAATCACGCACTCGTCGACCCATACTTGTATCAACAGACTCGAAAACCAAGGCAAACCTTGAATACCAAGTCAGATTTTACAAGGAAACTGACTTTGTATACCCAAAAATTTGTAAATCAGGGCATTGGTCGACCGAGGTTTCACTGTACTGTATATACAGTGTATCCTCACTTGAACAAACTATATGGAGGGAAGCCGATTCTTTCCAGTGGGGAATTCATTCCATCTGTCCGGCCCCAACAAACCTTCCCTTCCACCCAAAAAAAAAAAAAAAATTATCCCCCATAATACATGACAGGGATGGTGTCAGAGAAGTCGGAAGTATATATTCCAACACTGCCAGACTTTTGACATCATCCCCAACCACCAGACTTATCTGACACCATCCCCCACCACTGACACCACCTGCCTCCCCTGATACTTCATGCCTTCAGTAACATTCACTACTAACACTACCTGCCTACCCTGGCAACAACTTTCACCACTTGCCTCTCCTCACAACTTCACCATTGACACCACCTGCCTTCCCTTACACCACTGTCACTACCTGCCACCCCCTGGCAGCTAAATGAAATAAACAAAGTTTTTGAATATAAATAAGGAATACACAAAGTAATGTACATATA